AAATGTTCATAAATTATTTTCTCTCTTTAAAAATAGTCTTTATCTTAAAAGTTGCACTAATTTAATCCTTACAATAAAAAAATAAAATTTCCAAAACTAGTTCATCTTTCAAATAAATATATAGAAAACATTAAATGCGAGAAGTTGTACCAAATGTAGTTCCTAAAATAAAAGTACCAAAATTATTTTTTTTGCTACACATATTTGACTTTTTCTTTATCTATTTATTCACATGTGTAATTTCAAAATTTTTTTTGAGTGATTATATTTTCCCTCCTCCTAATTTTTTTGTATGATTTTAACAAAAATTGCAACGAATGGATTAAGTGAGAACAATTCAAAATTTAAGGGGCAAAGTGAGAATTTTTGAAGTGCAAAGGCAAACTGATAATGACTTTAAAATTCAGGAGGCAATATCATTTTTATTATTACTATTATTATTATTATTATTATTATTATTATTATTATTATCTCATAATAATAACTTTAAAGACGTATACTTCATAAATATTTTTTTGTATTATACCCATTTTAATCTTTTATCTCTCAATTTGTCATTTTAGTTTTTTTTTCTTAGTAAAAAAATTTATAAAAAAACAAAATTACGTACAAATTTAATTCAAAACAAAACAAGAACGTTGAAGCTTAATACATTCAAAGTTCAACCAATATGACAACAATACGCATATACATCTTAACTATTTATTAGAATCTTTCAACCAAATTAAAAGGAAAAGGTTCTCTAAAAAAAATAAAAGCAATTAACTGCACACCAAATTTCACAACACAACAAAGTGTAGCATACAATTATTTTATAACATTGTTTTATCTACTATAACAAAAATAAAAATAAAAATTATTATTGACATAGGGTTATTTAGAAATTTAATACGTGTTAATAAATCAGATTTTAGATTAGGGATTAAGTTTAGTACAACTTCTCATATTTAATTTTTTTTACATCTATTTATTTAAATAATGAACTAATTATGGCACTTTTTTTTAAAAAATGTTTAGAGATTAGATTTGGTAGATAAAATATAGTTTAAGGACGTTTTATGAGACAAAGTTAATAGTTTCCATCTAAAATTCAAAGAGAGACCATTTATGACACTTTTTGAATTCAGGGACTATTTATAAAATAAAATTAACTACAAAGATTAATTATATAGAGAAAAAAAAGTTTAGGGACTATTCATAGGTTTAACTATATTCATTATTTTACTTTGGCTTCAATTTTTAACATCTCTTTAGAATATTTAAGTGTGTGTACTTGTTCTCCAATGAGGTTTTTTTTTTTTTCTTTTAAAAAATCTGATCTTCAAAATTACATTTATATTATCAACAATAAAACTAGATATAATAATTACGTACCAACTTTTTGATATAAACTAATGTGGCTGAATAAATTATGTCATTAATTGCCACAACAACTATTTATTAATAAATTTTATTACATTTGATAAGCAAAAAGTAAATGGTTTTATAAGTGTGAACTTGTGTATGTATATATGTCCTTCATTGAGTTATTTATTTATTTATTTATTTTAAATTAGATCTTCAAGTTCAAAAAAAATTTAAATTCAAGTTACAGCTTTATTCAAGTTCACGTTCTTTTAAATTATAACTTTATTCAACTTTACTCAACTTTATTCAAATTACAACTTCAACTCAAGTTATAACTCAAATTCAACTTAAAAACTACACTCAAGTCACACTCTAAAAGAACAGACCTAAAGAAGAGATGCCTAAAAAAAGAGTACTATTAAAAAAATCTTTAACTCTTTTTTATATTATTAAATATATAAAAAAAGAGATACCGTCACTTGACAACTTAAAAAAAATACTATCAAAGAGTCTTTTTAACTCTTCTATATATTGTTAACGAATAAAATCATTCCTTTCAAAAGAAAACAAAATAAGCGTAAATAAATAAATAAAGTGAAAAAGGCCAAAAACACAAGAAAAATAATATAAAAAATCCTATACCAAAAAATATCTCTATATTGATAATTTCGTTTTTTTCCACATGATTTCGCTTCATCATTCATTCGCATTAATATACAGGATAAGATGTTTTTTTGAACAAAACAATTCAATAATTACAACAAGCGGACCCCACGTGCGGACTTTTGTCACGACTGCGTCAAGACAATGGCCTTGTTCTCTTCACGGATTCGAGTTTTCAATTCGAGTTGAGATGTAACATTTTGTAAAAACTTTTTACTATAGCAGAAAAAGTTAGATGTGACATTTTCTGAGATCTTTTTACTATAGAAACCTAAAACTGAAAACTCAAATCGATTAAATGAACAATGCCTAATTCCAAAGTATCTAAAAAATTTCCACTCATTTTAATCTCATTTATTTTATTAATTCAAATTTTTAATTTTTATAATTAAAAATTCTAAAAAAATATTATATCTAATTTTTTTATTATAATTAAAAATTTAAAAAGAATACGACATCTTAACTCAAAAACTCAAATTTGCGGATACAACGAAGCTTTTATATTACACTTCACTCCACCACCGCTTTACATTCCCATCATTCATCAATGATCTGTGATTTTCTCACTCTTCAACTTCTCATCTGATCTGCTAAACTCAGCATTAATCCTTTTTCTTTGTCTGTTTGTTTGTTTCCCAAGAAATCAGCCTGGAAAATGGAGGCTCTAGCTGTCAGACGCAGAATCAACACGATCTCCACAAGAAATCGGTCTGAGAGAAATTGTTTTAACTGTACCTTCTCTCTCTAATTATGAATTTAAAAAGGTCCAGATCATGCCATGTGACCCTCTATCTCTATATATATATTACTGTTATTTTGGTCATCGCCATTCTTATTACCCTTCTGGTTTAGAGGATCATATGATTATTCTCTCTATTTTGAAAGGCGAATCTTAGTGTTAAGGATGATTGGGCAGCATAATTATTTAATCAGTCCTTGATTTTTTTTTTCCCTAAAAAGGGAGAGAAAATTGTGGGGGTGTGTGTTGATGTTGTTGTTGTTCTTTTTTTTTTTTTTTTTTTTTTTTTTTTTTTTTTTTTTTTTTTTTTCTTTGAGGATACAACAAAATGGCTAATTTATCTTAACTGTTGACTTAACCTAACATGTTCCAAACGACTCAAATCTATTCTATTATTTTTTTCCCTCTTATTATACAACGAAATTTAAAAGGAAGAACAAAGTAGCAAAAGCAGCTGATCTAGCCTTGGTAACAATTTTTTCATTAAACAAGTGAAATGAAGGGTGGAGATTTTATTTAAATGGTACTTAGATAATCTCCTGCTTTAAAAAACAAAAGGAAAAAAAAATTTTAAAAAGTTAAAGGGTTATCAAGAAAGGACTAGCAAAAGTAAAACAATTAGAGAACACGTTCAATCTAGGTTGTGTAAGTGTTGATTACGCGTAATAGTTTGATAATTAAATTGGAATTTGTAAATGCAGATTCTACATTTAACTTATGAATTTCCAATAGCTGTGTATAATGTTGGCGAAATGATCAAGAGGACTCTGTCTAGTCTTCATGTCGTTATGCCAAAGTTCAATACTTTCATCCATTGGATGCTGTCTTTCCTCGAGTTTTCTAGTTCATTGATCATCACTATCAAAGTAGTTTCTAAACTGCTATCGACAAGTGGTGTACAGAATAGTTGTCATGCGTGATCTGGTCGGGAATCAAGTCCTCCAAAAAGATAAGCTTAGTTGTCCTATAGGACTTCATGACATTAATTAATCTGAACTCTTAAATGCTCAACGAATGTTATCATAGTCTGAGATCATCTCTAATATAAATGCTAATGTCAATTGTATATTTAGCATTAAAAAGTATGATATTATATGTTATTTTCATTTTTTTTTCAACTGCATAATGCTGTTTGAAATGCTAAATCTACTTTTTCCTACAACTATTAAGCTTTGAAAGGTATAAAAGTAAACTTTTATTTTTAAAATAATTAAAAAATGCAAAAGTTGCATTAATTACATGAAAAAAGTAAACATTTCAACCAATAGTAATCAAATACTAAATTTCCCTTATGTTATACTTGGTGGGAAATTTACCACAAAGCATAGCATATGTGAAATTTGGCACAACAAATAGCATTGCGTTGGAGAGTGTTTAGTGCACTCAAATATTAAATTTGTAATTGGCACATTAATTATAGCATTACATTAGAGATGCTCTAATAAAATGCGTTGTGTCAATTTTCCCAATTTTTCCTCGTAATCTAATTGCTTATAAAATTTGGTTCTTTTAGTTTCTTTTTTTATTCAGTTTTCTGTTTCATTTTTTTAACTAACCAATTGGCCTTTAAAAAAAAAAAAAAACTCGAATCAGCGAACTAAACGGACCCGGTTGACATATTATTTTTAGAAGTTATTTTTAGTTTTGAAAGTTAAAGCAGGCCAAGATGTTTGATAAATCTTACTTTTCTTCGGACTTTTAAAAATTTTTATCTAAGAGAATAATATGAGAAGCAATTTATGGGATGATTTTTCACAACAACTTTTGTTATAACTATTCAAATACTGAAATTTCTACTTATGATATTCACAACAGCTTTCAAAAAGAAAGAAAAAAAAGAAAACACTTAAATACTTATGAACATATAATAATTTTTAACTAACCACACACCGCTACAGTAAAAAATTTTAACAACACAACTGTGTCAAACTAGCCCAAGGCTTACAGTTACAAAGCAACTCCACCAAGATCAAATCTTTTGCTCTAATTTATTGATAAAAAAAATAAATAGAATAAGGAAATCATAATCCAACCATAAATGCTAATAAAAAACAAAACAAAAAGAAAAGTCAACTTTTTAATGTGCATGCCGACATCCCAATTATTTGATAAACCTAATAATGAAGAGCACTATAAATTTCTGATCGCCCGAGCAAGATTCCTCGAGAACTCAAATCATCTCATTCAATAAATTAACATCCCATAATTACTAGCCAATTACTCCACATCTTCAAAAAACCATAACAGAAAAATGTCTGCTCCAGTTTCAGCAATTCATGGTTCAACTGAGATCAAAGCCACACCCAAAACGGTTGGCCGATCCTCGGATTTTCACCCCAGCATTTGGAGAGATCATTTCCTCATATATACTTCTGAGTCCCCGGTATGTATATAAAACTATATAGATATGTATATCTACTACCTCACAAAACTATGTGCATACATATACATCTCTCTCTCCCTTTATATATATACATGCATATATGTATATGTATGTATATGTATGTGTATATATACATATGTAATTTATTTTTCCATAAAAAGTAAACAGATATGTATGTGAATGTGTGTGTGTATATATATATATAATGTGGATGTCCTATGAAAGACAAGGGAAGGACAAATGAAGGAAATCAAAATTGACTATGGCTTAGTTTGGTATTGCTTTTCCATCCCAAAATCAGCTTCTGCTTGTAGTAGAAATTGATTTTAATGTTTGGTAAATCTCCTCAAAAGTGTTTTTTGAAGAATTTTTTAAGAATCTACAGCTAAAATCAGAAATAGCCTAAAGACAACTTTAGCTTTTAGATTGTGCGGAAATCAGCATATTACAATTAATGAAACTTTCATAATACCCATAATATCCCTAATAAAATTTAAAATTGACAGTCTTCTCAATCTAAAATTCAGACTCATAATTTAATATAATATAACATAATATAATAATAATATTGTAACAAATAATATCATAATTATATTAATAGCTCTAATATTATTATTTTATCAGATAATATGATATTATAATAACATTATAACTATTTTAATAATAAGATGTTATAATTATAATAGAATTATAATATGATATTGTAATTATTATTTTATAATATATTAAATGATATTGGCTTAGTTTTGTATTATTTTTCGTTTCCAAAATTGACTTCTACTTGTGGCAAAAGTTAATTTTAATATTTGATAAATCTTTTTAAAAGTATTTTTTAAAGAATTTTTGAAAAATTTACAGTCAAAATCATATGCAGCCTAAAGACAACTTTAACTTTTAGATTGTGTAGAAATCAACATAATACAATTAATAAAACTTTCATAATACTTCTAATGAAATTTGAAATTTACAATCTTCCCAATCTATAATATAATATAATATACTATAATCGTAATTTTCAATTATTTCAGTTATTATTTTAATAATATTATTATATTATATATCATAATTATATAATATATTATATAATAATAGTTTTTTTATTATATTAAATATAATAATAAATATATATTATATTGTAATTATATATATTATATAATATTATAATATAATATAGTCGTAATTTTTAACTATTTAAAGAAATTTAATCTCATAATTTACCAAACGCTATTACGTTGATTTTAGAATAAGCACAACTATTATAATTATAGTATACCAAACACTCAGTTACTTTTTATAACAGCTGCTTATTCATTCAGTACAGTTAAAAGTAATTTTTTTAAAAATCACAGCACTATCAAACTAAGCCTATGTGATTTATGAATGCACGATGAGGTTATTCAATGTGTGTACTGTTGCTGATGTCATGTTCTCTTCTTTTAAAATATTGTTAGGCAATTGATGTCAATATGGAGCAAAATGTTGGGAAAATGAAAGACGAAGTGAAGAGGATGTTTGATGTTGCTGCCCCTAATCCTTCGGAAACCCTCCAACTGATTGATGCAATCCAACGTTTAGGCTTTGCTTATCATTTTGAGAATGAAATTACTGAAAAACTAAAAGAGATTAACAAAATAACTCTTGAGGAATTCAATGATGATCCTCATATCATTTCACTATGGTTTCGTTTGCTAAGACAAGAAGGATACAATGTATCATGTGGTAAATTCAGTACTATATATACATATTTCTCAAAAGCAATATTCACTACATTTATACATGACGCCAATTAATTGAAGTTTTCAATCTGAGTTTCATGTTCTGTAGTTGTTCTTGTCAGATCATGCACTGTCTTTTCTTCGATCAAAATGGGTTTTAGTGAGACATCTTCAATTTGTCTTATTCAAAGTAGAAAATAGATCCATAATTTATCCCAAAATCTCCAACCAGTTGGTTTATATACTTTTTTTTTTACTTTTTAATTTTTTGTCCTTTTTCTAGAACTCTTTTGTATTTTTCTCTTTTCCTTTTTCACTATAGTGGAAGCTTAGGAATTCCTTTTGTATATGCATAAACCGAGGTTTTAATTGTCTTTTACTTTAAAAAATAATGCATATTCTATAGGGTGTCTAAACGTTTTACATTTCTTGGTAAATATATAATGCAGGTATATTTCACAAGTTCACAAACAAAGAAGGAAAGTTCGATAATACCCTCGTAAATAATGTTGAAGGAATGTTAAGCTTATATGAAGCTGCACATCTTATGGCTAATGGAGAGCCAATACTTGAAGAAGCACTTGCTTTCACTACTACTCATCTCAAATCATCAACGACATCTTCCCAATTGAGTCCTTTTCTTGCTGCACAAGTAAAGCACGCCTTGAAGCAGCCCATAAGGAAGGGCTTGCTAAGGGTTGAGGCAAGGCATTACATTTCTATTTATGAGGAAAATCCCTCACATAGTGAAGTTTTACTCAACTTTGCAAAGTTGGATTTCAACATTTTGCAAAAGTTGCATCAGAAGGAGCTTAGTGCGATCACAAGGTTAATATTTCTAGCTTGCTATGATTTATTATTATTAGAATTTCTAATTCTAGTTCGTGTTGAGTATTAATTTAGATAATTTAAGCAAATACAGGCAGGGATGAACCCATAATTTTTTTTAGGGGGTCTTGAATTAAATAATCATTTTAAACTAAATTAATTATGTAATAGAGTATAAATTTGTAGTGAAAAGTAAGGGGGTAAATGAAACTTTTTTAAGACATCTATACAAACTTTAGAATTTCAAACTATTAGGGGAGAAAAGTTATATATTCTAGCTAGATCAATTTAAGGGTATAAATAAATTATTTTAAAACAATAAGCATAAAAGCGACGACATTTATCGTTGCTAAAATTACAGTATTAGCGACGACATGTCGTCGTTTAAATGAAAACAGAATTTTTAAATGACTTGTCGTCGTATTAAATATTTGCAACAACATGTCGTTCCACAAAATTTATGTAATTACGACGACATGTCGTCGCTAAAATAGAACGGCATATAAGCGACGACATGTCATCGCTAATACGCATTGGAGCCAAAACCAATCGGGCGCCAACAATTTTAGTGCCAGTTTGTACATTATTTGCGAGGACATGTCATCGCAAATATTGATGGTTACAGCTGGCGGTGATGTGGCAAAAAAGAGGCGGGAAATTTGACGGTTTCCCGTGAATATGTTCCAGATATTTCTTTATTTTTTGCCACGACTGTGCAAAACCTTGTCGCACAAAATGGTTCTAGAAAATTCTTTTCAGAACGACTATTTTGCGACGACACGTGTCGTCAGAAAAAAGGGTTCCAGAAAATTCTATCAAGGGCAACTGTTTTTTGCGACGACACATGTCGTCGCAAATAACTAGGGATTTAATTTTTCTTAAAAAAAAGGGCGGAAACTTTGGCAGTTTCCCCAAAATTATTTACGATGACATTGTTAAATTGTCGTCGTAAAAAAAGAACCAGGGTATATCCCTAAAGAATATTCTCAAAAATATTAATGAGATGAAGAAGAACTCGTCGTTTTAACATTAATTGCAACGACTATTTAATCTTTGTTGCGACGACATAATGTCGTCGCAAAAAATAAGTTGCATAAACGAAATTGCAGACCTCCTTCCACCATTTTTCCTGGTGAAGCTCTCGCGTTTTCCGTTCCTCTCTCTGTCCAAAACCTCCAAAAACTGTCAAAAAAACACTGAAAATAGCTTAAAAATATCGTCATCTCTTCAAATCTTTCATTTGTGGAGAGAAAAAGTCAAAAAATGCAGAGTTTTCATCTCCCTCTCGCCTCCCACTTTTTCGGCCGAACTCGCCATTTTCCGGCCGAAGTCACCGTTTTCTGGCCGCACTCGCCGTTTTCCGGCCGCTTGCGTCCTCTTTTCTTGCTGCCTTACCGATCTCCAACCCCGGGTATTTGTGGGTTTGGATTTTGTGAGTCAATATTTTGATATTTTGTTAATTAATTTTGGTATTTTTGTTATGGTTTATAATTTTGTTTTAGATTTTATATATAGTTTGTCGTTTTGAATTTAGAATTGTGAATTTTAAATTAGAATTGAAATTGAAATATGTGATAATTAGATTAAAATTTGTATAAAATTTGTTTAATGATGATTATGTGATAATTAAAAAATTAGATAAAAAATTTTAATTAAGATTATATTAATAATGAAATAATGAAATAAACTAATGTTAAATACTTATTATAAAATAATTTGTGTTAATTTTCATAAAATTTGATAAAACTTTATAAATTGAGTATGACGTCATACTCAATTTTGACGCGGCATCTAATCCAAATTTTTACGAAAGTAGAAGTAATAAGTTTTGTTAATACTTCTGTAATCCTTGAGAATTAATTAAAATTAAATGTTGCACTTTTATTGTAATCAAGAGAGGATTTTACAATGTTTAACTCAACTAAATCTTAATATGTAAAAAATAACTAGGTAGTGGATAGATCTGGATGTTGCGACAAACCTTTCTTTTGCACGAGACAGGCTAGCAGAAGCTTATTTTTGGATCTGTGGAGTATATTTTGAGCCCCAATACGCACTTGGTAGAAGAATAACAACTAAAGTTTTGGCAGTCACATCACTCCTTGATGATATATATGATGTCAAAGGAACATTTGAAGAGCTCCAGCTCTTCACAGATGCCGTTCACAGGTTTGAAATTTAGTGCCCATTTTATTCATAGGTTTGTGCATGAATACAAGTTAGTTGCAAAAGGATTTGAATTTCGATTCAAACCTGTGAGACAAACGGCCGGTTTTTAAAATAGTTTTGGTTAAATGAATTATATCGATCTAGAATAAGTACTATTTTTTTTTTTTTTTTTTTTTTTTTTTTTTTGTTTTAAAAAAAATTTTTTTTTTTTTTTTTTTTTTTTTTTTTTTTTTTCTGCTAATGAAGTACTTTTTGTCTTAACAACATCTAATTCGTTTAACAATCATTCTTGGTTCAGGTGGAATATCAGCTGCCTAGATCCACTTCCCGAATACATGAAATACTGTTATCGGGTACTATTAGAGTTATACGAAGAAATTGAGGAGCTCACGGTGAATGAAGAGAGAGGATTATATCGAATTCATTGTGCTAAAGAAGCAGTAAGTCATGACAAAATTATTATATATCTCTCTCTTTATGTATGTGTTTATATGTTCAGACTGAAAAATTATGTGGTCAATATTAACAAACACTCTAAAATAAAATAATTTTTTTCTCATGAAAATTGGGGTATCTATCGATGTCATCCGGTCTTTATTGTCCTTCCCGTCACTACGAGTTCAAATCTAACAGAACCAAATAAAAAAAATAAAAAAAAAATGAAGATGGTAAAGGTTCAATATTTTGAAAAACATGATTGTTGAATTATTCCTTCCCACTACAATCTGAATCACTATTTCTTTTAGAGTAATAGTATGAGTGGAAGGTTCTATTGTAATTATCTTTAAATGATTTCTCTTTATCTTATAATATTCTCGACCTTTTGTTTTTAAAAAATGACCAATGGTCCTTGAATTTGTGTTTACTATTACCCTTAAAGTCGATGACAAATAATTTTGTGTGTATTATGACAATACAAAAAATACACCATACACAAAATAATACAAACTACCAAAACTAATATATTACATAGGTATTTGGACATTTGAAAATCAAACTTCACTAGCCTGACAGTTAACGGTTTATCGGTTTAATACATGATAGAAATAGAAACAGAGGTTCAATGGCAAGTGATGAGAGAGAATAAGTACAAAGAAACTATTTGTGGTTAGAGAAACGAGTTTATAAATCACATTTATTTTTTAAGGGAAGATATATGTCTTCTATTCAAATCTCATTGGATTTTTGATCTAATATGACATTCGATTTATATACCTATGTTGTTGCAAATGTGTTTGAATTGCATTGATTTGACCATGCATGGGCACAAGATGAAGAAGCACGTCCAAGCCTACTTTGACGAAGCCAACTGGTTAAATAAGAATTATATACCAACAGTGGAGGAGCATATGAAGGTTACAGCGGTATCAGGTGGTTATTGCATGTTTACAATAACTTCTTTCCTTGGAATGGGAGATATTGCAAAAGACGAGGCCTTCGAATGGGCGTCAAAATATCCCAAGATTATTGTAGCTGCATCGGTCATTTGTAGGCTCATGGATGACATTACTGGCCATAAGGTATGAAATCCGAACACAAGAAACCCCCAACTGCTGTAGTACTAGTTTTAAATCAAGTCTTCTCTCATGTAATATATATATATATATATATATATATATTGCACTCCAATCACATGTCCAATTTAAGTGTTTAAAATGATGTCTAACCAACTCCATTATGCCACATCATTTAAAAGATTCGAATCCATATACATTAAATGAAAAGAAATGATAAATACTAGTATTAAGGGATTTGAGCACATCTTAACTAGGTGTACTACAATATTAATAAATAAAAAGAAAATGATAAATACTAATGCTGCAATTTGTGTGTGTGTGTGTAATTAGCTCATTTTCTAATGATCAATGGTATATGCATCACGGAAGAACATAGTGAGGGGCCAAAAGAAAAACTTAAGTAATCATGATTTGAATTCTTCAATTAATCATCTTTTTTTCTCAATCCTGCAAATGAATTCTTAAGATAATCATCTTCTATCTTTTCTAGTTTGAGCAAGAAAGAGGAGAGGTAGCCTCTAGTGTTGAATGCTATGTGAAACAATACAATGTGTCAGAGGAAGAAGCATATAGAGTGCTTGGCAAGCAGATTTTTGATGCGTGGAAGGACATAAACGAAGAGTGCCTTGAACCCAGAGATATGCCAATGCCTCTCCTTCTGCGTGTACTCAATCTCGCTCGTGTCATGGATGTCCTTTACAAGGATGGGTATAATTACACCTTCTCTGGAGGAATCACGAAAAATTTTATTAAGTCTCTTTTTGTAGATTCAATTCCAATGTAAAATTCCGGGTCTATTTGTTTCCTTTCTTTATAAGGTCCTCTTATGGAGGTTTGGTTGACTTCACTTCAGTGTTGAAAATGATATCCTAAAAACATATGATGTATAAATGATATTATTATTTATTTAATAAAAGAGAACTTTTATTATATTATGCAGGCACTATTAAATACTTTATAAATATCATTGAAAATTTCACGGTTATTTATGTGATCTTAAATATAATATATAATTGTTATATACTAAAAGATAATATTTAAGGATAATAATCAAAATGAGTCCATAAAGAACTTAATTAAAAATTAAAATCTTTAATTAGAACATTCACATGTCATTCCCATTAAAAATAGAATGAGCTTATCCGCATTGTTAATATGAAGAGATATAGAATGTGTGTATTTCACATAATAAGTGTCATGATCGGGAAATTTGTCAAAGGAATTATTGTATAAGATAAAATTTCCTGGAATTCATTGTATCATAAATGGGGATACTTTTATGATAAGTATTTATTGATATTATTGTTGAAAAGCAAAGTATAAGCTAAACGTTAGAAATTTTTGAGCTATGATGTAGTTACTGAATTTCAGACTGAAATTAAGAAAGAGACTCAGAATGTTGTGTTAATCCTATGAGAGGACAAACACATGAATGTTAAGTTTAAGGAATGAAAAAGAATTGAAAAACATCAATTCTAAGGTTTTAGAAACTATCAGAACGAAAAACGGACGAAAAAGGGGTTCGAAAGGCCGAACCGAGAAAATTGAAGTTTTCGGCTAATTGGGGTTGACCGAGTCAAAATTTATTGACCAACTCTTGAAAGGATAGTCAAAGTTGAACAAAGTTGACTAAGTTGACTAACTGTCTAGAAAACGCAGATAAAACTCGAATCGGATAGGTATTAAACTGAACCAAAGTGAGATAACTATTAGAAATGGATGGTTGAGATTTAAAGTGATTAATGGAATGGAGGGCTGAGATTAGGATACCTAGAAAGAGAGGATATGGCCGGCCAAGCTTAATGGAGAAGCCAAGTGAGATATTTTGTTGAACATTGTAAAAAAGGTCCTAAAAAATGTCAAAATTGCACCTAAATCCCTCATCTTTTTTGTGAACGTTTTTATAAGAGCCAAATGCAAGAAAAATGGTCGTTTTCATGTGAGAAAACAGAGAGCACTCAGCCAACAAAGAGAGGAAAAAAAATTCTCCAAAATGAGAAAAACAAGTTCTAATCGAAATCTGCGGAAAACTACCGTTGATTAGGTAAGATTTCAATTTTTCTTCTCATCTTTCCCCTTGGCTGAACATCCATGAAAAGTATAGGTTGTGGAAAATTTTTTGCTAAGAATGATGATCTGCTTATGAAAATTAGAGATACCAAAGAACCTAATGTTTAAAGATTAAATTTTCGGTTATTGGATTATGTTTCTAGCATATTTGTTTATGGTGAAACTTTATACTTTGTGATGTTTATGATGATAAAAAGAGATGAGAAAGATTGTGATTGGTGTTTGAAGGTTGAAACAATGGATGAAATGAGCTATGGTTAGCTCGGAAAACACAAAAAGTTAGGTAGAACTCTGCTGAAATTTAGTTTGGAAATTGTCAACCAATCTTGGTTGTAATGGAGAGTATAAGTTATGAGATGATTAGGTGGTTAAAAAAGGTGTGGGAAACCTGAAAAGATGGAAATCCCCAGTTACGGATCAAACCTAAAATATGGGAATCCCCAGTTACCGAGTATTTTCCTCATTAAGTTGAAGGAAATTTCATTTCAAGCCACTTTTGTGAAATAGCATTTTCCTCAAAAACGAATTGAGATGCCAGTTTCGGGCTAATTTCTGAAACAAGTCTGAAATGGGATTTTAGGCCAAGTATGCACGAGTTTAGAGCACGATGGTGATTTAAGAGATGTTTTAATCCGGATACTAAACATGGACATTATGGATCCTTTTGAGTCAAGTTTTATTGTAATACTGGTCTTAGATTATAAATCTAACGATCAAAGTGGTGAAGTTCCTGCCGACTCGAAGATTGTAAAGTTAGCAGAATTCCTGTAAGTACCGCAATTTTTCTATGTCTATATCACAAACAAGCTTATTTTTCCATGTTGCACAAAATTGTGCATATTGTAAGTATCAGTAGTTTTTCTTGTCTATGACACGAATAAACTTATTTTGCTATGTTGCACAAAAATTATGCATATTGTAAGGACCAATAGTTTATTTATGTCTATGACACGAATGAACTTATTCTTCTGTATGTTGCACAGAATTGTGCATATTACATGCCCAATGAATGTTAGAATAAGAATGGTGTTTCTTGAATAATGTATGATGCTATGAATGTTTCAAGATTTATGATGCTATGATTGTTTTAAGATGTACGATGCTATAAACGTACTTATGGACTTTAAGTAGTAGTAGAATTTCAATCTACGAAAAGTCTGGGTCAAAGTCAAAGTCAAGTCAACGAAAAAGTTAAACTTTACGAAAAGTCAATTTCATAGAAAATTGATGGAAATGCGTAAAAATACAAAATAAGATTAAAATTATTGTCATACTGATAAAAGATGACACTAAAATGACATATAAAAAAATGATGAATAGATAAAGATGAAAAACGATAAGAAATTAATAATATTGTTTGTACCGGCTTTCACAAGGAAGCTTTTATGAATTTTGAGGAACAAGAGATTCCAAGATAGGGGTCATATGAAAGAAGGGCCAAATCCTTGAGGAACAAGAGATTCCAAGATGGGGGCCACATGAAGGAAGGGTCAAATCCTTGAGGAACAAGAGATTCCAAGATATGGGCCACACACAAGAGGGGCCAAATCCTTAAGGAACAAAAGATTCTAAGATAAGGGCCATATGAAAGATGTTCTAATAACACAAGATGAATGTTGTACAAAAATGGCCCTAAATGATAAGGAAAAGTGTTTTTCAAGTGGAAATCACTATATGGTTTACTTACTGAGCTTGAGCTCATATAGTTCTCGTGATGCAGGTGAGTGACGACAACTATTCCACATGAGAGTACGGAAGTCGTAAGTAAAAGACATGAAATTGTAATACGACTAACGTTCCACATGAGAGAATGGAAGTCGTAGAGAAGTATGAAATTAAAGAAAAGAAAACGTAATATGAAGGTCATTCGGAATGTTAGAAAAGAATACGAACGACACAAGAATGAAAGTTAACTAAAGTATGAAATACGAACGACATAAGAATGAAATTGAAGGAAGTACAAAATGAGAAAAGATGAAGCATAATACGATAAATGTTATGAGTGTTTAGAAATTAGGTTAGGATGTATGATGTGAATGCACATATGGGTGTGCATTATTGTATGCTTTAATTATGACCTAATGTTACTTGCTGAGCAAAAGCTTATTACGTTTGCTCGTGTTGTAGGAAGCTCGGGTAAGGCACCAACTCCGTAAAACCTGTATGCTAGGCGTGCAAGAGAGGATGAAGTGGTGGGATGTGGGCAAGTGGGTAAGGGGATCTACACGCAATTGGTAAATACTGCAGAGTGTTTAACGTAAACCATATTTATGGATATGGTTAGGTTATGTAATGTAAGTAAAGATAACGGGACTATGAGGCTATACTTAGGAACCTCAAGTCACAAAGTATGTTTATGTTCTTATGATGCTATTATGCAAATTGCAAATGAATGACAATGGTATATGGACGATAATTTAGAGTTATGTCCGTAAAAAAGAATAGCCGAAAGGAAAAGTCATAATTATAAGTAGTTGATGTTAAGGCATAAGTTAAGTACGTGCGTAGTATTGATGACCAAAAGTAAGGGTCGTCATAATAAGATTATGTAGGACTAGGACAAGACATAGTATGAATTTTTAATAATTTCTTGTTAAGTATAGAAATTCTAATTGAGTCTACCAATGATCATATATAAAATTATCTTAATCCTAAGTTATAAGCAAATTCCTATTTGTGGATTCGTGTCTTTTGACTTACTCGGTATGGATTTTGAGATAGCTAAATCATATTCCTTGTATCTTGAGTAGTTTAGAATGTGAATATACAAGATGGAATCCTCCTTTTGAGAAAGAAGTAGATAAATAATTCTTTTGAAGGTTGATTCAGTACTTGGTATAGTAGGAGCTCTGATTCATGAATTTGTTTTATGAATCACTATCAATTTGAAAATCAATGGAACTCAAGGATAAAAATATAATTAGAAACGTTAACAAATTTTACATAGCTCTAATTATGAATTATTTATAGACGATCAATCTATATGAAGTGACTAAATCAAATGGATGTTTCATATATGTAGCAAATGTCTATAATATCAAGAGTGCAATAATAAGTTTATAGTAGAGTAACTTTGAAATTAATATAATTAATTAATTAATTAATTAAAGAGTTTGATTAATTATTAATTTAGTTAGAGCTTCATGTTATAGGTCCATAAATCTCTACGCCATATCTTTGTAATCCTGCAAAACATTAAGGATAATATGAGAAATTTAGAATTATGAAATTCTATATTATATCACTCAAAATAATTAATCGAGAATTAATTAGATATTATCTAATATGATTATTTAATATGTAATTTTAGAACAGTTACTTGCACTCTAAGTTATCCAGTTTACTTATTAGACAAGTTATCCAAATGAAATTCAAATTAGTTTGAAGTTTGCCTTTGATGGGATGGAAATTTGAATTTGAGTCAAAATTAAACAACAGGAGAAAAGAGAAATTTTATCACCTCCTCGACTGCTTGGTGGCACCAATCAAAGGGGCTTATCCCTGTGGTGGCCGAAATTCTCCTACTAATAGGAGAAAAAAAATTATTCTACAATTAAATGGGAATTTATCTTGATTTTAAATGTGATTTAATAAAAAGATTTTCATCAATTTTTCTAAAGCATTATCTTAGAGATAAATTAGATTTGCAGTACCACTATGATTGGTACTCTACAAATATGTGGGATTTAGATGATTGGAGAACAAAATTTTTCACTCCATTCCCTATAGTAAGAGTGCAACATGCTTAGTGTAAGCATGCAACTATGTGCATGAGTTGATGGTAGTGGGAGATTAGTGAGCTGAGTGCTAATCTCGTTTTGTTCCAGGTTGTGCCCCACACACATAGAGTCTTTGTCGAACCAGGGATAGACGAGGAAGATTCTTGTTGATCTAAAAACTGGAGCACTTTGATTCTTCGTGGTCAAAAACTCAAATTATAGTCCTAATTGGTTGCTAGGTATATTGCTGAATTAATTAGATAAATTTATTCGTGCATAAATTAATATAATCTATAATCTTCCTCGAAAGTTTTATGAAATTTTTATTTATATTCGATCCGTATTATCAGATTCCCGCACTTGAAACGTTTTGAAAACCAACAGTCAGGTAATCATAGCCAAGTTAACCCTTAGGCCACATAGGCAATTGACTAAAACCCCACTTCAAAATAAGGCCCCAATTAAATTTTTTTCTTTATTGTTATTATCCAATTTAGTATGTTAAAGTAAAGTTTCACAAAATAAACAAAAATGTTCTAATTACGCACTCATATTGTTTTTTTTAAAGGTAGAAGCACTCCTTTCTCTTAATATACAGTACTGCTCTAATTACCCTAATAAGGTCCCATTATATATCAAACACAACTTTTTTTCCTCTTAATTTTATTAATGCTTTAAATAGCGCTCCATTTATTCTCAGTTTTATTTTTTTTTTAATGAATTCTCTCTTTCTCTCTCTCCTTCTCTTCTCCGTGCACAGCAATCAACCTCCGATGATCTTCCAGTGTCAGTTTTCGATATCTCCCGGTTCATCGGAAAGCTCTCGACGATCTGAGTCCTGAACCGTACCTTGCGACTGCCAATACTGCTGGAGAAGGCCTCACTTGCCGGCCAAAGTTATGAAACACTCAACACTTGCGATCGTGGTATCTTCGTTGTCCAACGCCCCATCGTGATGATTTCAGTTTCTACGGACTCAGGGGACGAGAACGAAGAGAACCAAACCAGTTTTCCTGACCGAATCATGCCAGCACCACTCCTTAAGTTTTTGTACCTCGATCATCTGCCACAACAGACATTATACCCATGAATTCAAAAACAAAATTAGAACCAATTATAATGTTGCCGCCATCGTCAGTCACGGAGCGTTTCTGAGTTCCATATCACCATTTACATTTTCATATTTTTTATTTACGCTCATTCTTACATTTTACCAATGACGGATAAGTCTTGACCAGGAAAAAGACATAAACACCCTTAATAAAATAAAGAGAAAAACAAAATTACAAACTTTAAAGAATATTTTATTAATTTTGATAATGAAAATCAACCTGCAAATAATAATAATAATAATAAAAGAAGATAAGGATCTACCTAAAAAGAATTTCAAATGTTAAAACATAACACAATTCAAAACATAACATACACTTTTTTTAATATCAAAATGTAGGGTATAGAAATGAAAAATAAATTTACCATACATAACATACTTCATCAGCGCAGTAGTAAAAAGAGTAGAGTTGTTTGTAAAAGATATATAGAAATAAAATAAAAAATGGATAAGTTTACGTAGGGGTATATATGTGAGACGACCCTACTAGGTGGCCATCACTGTAATATATTTATACTTTCTGAAATCTCTGAGAAAGTTGCGGAATTTTTTTTTAAATGCTATAAAGAGTGCTGTAACATTTTGTTTGAACATAAGTTTTTTTTCTCTCAAAATGCTATATCATAATATCATAAGTTTTGATTTCCCTTTGTAAACATAACACGAAGATTATACCTCAAAAACAAAATCCTTTTCTAAGGCATAAATGTATGCAAATGTAATTACTTCCTCCTTAAACACTGCTTACTTACATAAACTTGACAATCTTAATACAAACTTCCAACATACAAAGTCAGAGTCATATTTTAACAAAACTATTTAACACATTAAACTATTACGAAAATAATTGCGTGCAGTATCCATTCCCCGATCCCCACACCGTTCGTCCATTGCCTTGCCAGCAGTCCAAAAAGTATTTTATGCAGGTCGCTTACCTATAGTATAAATACTCTATAATGAGCTTTCGCTCAACAAATAAGAACTATTTCTCACAAAACTTCTATAAGTTCACATGATTATAATGACTTATGATGTTTTATCATAGTTTTACAGTCTGAACTTATCTTATTTACTGATGGGCCCGAGTGCTCATACCATTGCGCGCAATCATTGGGACGTGAGCATTTGTAAGGTCCCTAACGACATCGTGATTTTAAACTGAACTGAGTGCCTCCCTTGCGGAGGACTTTTTTTTTATCTCCCTTGCGGAGTCTGTTACCTCCCTCGCAGAGGCTGGTACGGCACTCAATTGAGTTTCTTATTATAAGTTCGTCTTGACTTATTAAGGTGTATGCAATATGACATAGCATATCATACTATAACATGAAATGTAATCAAACACATATAATTCATGTGTACTGTTTATTTTAAAATCTATTTATACTACAGGCGAGATTTCTACTTGGTTTATAAAGTTGGAATCCTCTAATCGACACACAGTCTGTTCACTTTCTTGCTTGTTTCTAAGAATAAACATCCATTAAGAGTGTGAGATTAACTATCACGTACTATTCTTTTTAGCAAGCTTGTAAGAAAGTCTGATTTCTCTATTTATGACTTCTTTCTCTTTTCTACCTTAAAGGATTATAAAACCTTGTTTCTAATTTAAAGATTAGGTTTATTAAATCCTTATAACCTTACTTTTCATTAAACAAATTCTGAAATCGACATACTTTTCTCAGATTACATTTCAAGTTCTTTAATGAACTCTCTTCTGTTTAACACTAAAACTGTTTTAACATTTTTTCAGTGTTTTCTAAGAAATAGTTTAAAACTTCTATTTGGAACTAAAATTAAGTTTATCTTCAAATTCTCAAACTAAATTCCAGCAGAGTTTCGCCTGAATTTCTGTGTTTCCCGAGCTATCCTTTGCTCGTTTTATCCATTATTCCAA